TGTATATATGCATGCATATTATTGTTATTGTTGTTGTTGTTATTAATTATTAATTATTATTATTATTATTATTATTAAATAATATGAACCTATTTTCATCAGAGAAATGTTGGAGGGTATGCATTTTAAGAACTATGGTACCACTATCAAGTCATGGCTTCTCCCAAAGAATTCTGGGAGGGGAGCCATTGTTTGTTAAGGGTGCTGAGAGTTGTTAGGAGACCCCTGTTCCCCTCACAGAGCTACAATTTGCAAGGTTCCCTGTGAGGAGGGAATTGATAAACCACTCTGTGAATTGTTGCTCCAGAAGAAGAATTAGGGGGGTGCAGCGTCTCATCACAACCCTCAGTAAACAATGGTATGGTGGGGTTGTGGCCTGACTTCATGGAGGTGGGGGCACATGGGCAGGCCTTATCCCGCACTGTTGCTGTGGGGTTCCCAATTGTGGGGAGGGCCTATGTGCAATAAGCAGACCTTCACAGAGCAGCCTCCAAAGCACAGGCAGGGAATAGGACTCATGTCACTGAAGAAAGTGGGGTGTGTGCTTAGTGAGGAGAAGAGATGGAATTTTTGCTCTTGTCCAAACTCTTTCGCCTCAAAGAGACGAAACGGGGAATATGGGGAGAGGGGAAAGAAAGAGGACGAAGAACGGGCGGCGGCGGGGAGAGAGTGGCCTTTTGTGCAAGATGCCAGGAGATTTTCTTGCACATTTATCACAAGAGGAAACAAAAGCTCGCCCTGCAAACATGCACACCCTGGTTGCCTAGGCGATGGCAACAAGGCCTGAGAGCTTGCAGGCCAGCATCCAAAGCGGACTAAAGCAGAAGGGGGGGAGGAACTGGGGGGGGAGTGTTCCCTTGCCTCCCCGCCTTCTCCCCACCCCCTTTCCAAGGTTTGTTTGGAGGGAGGCAGAGGGTTTTCTTAAGAAACAATGCAGCAGAAGATGCGGGGAGGAGGAGGATGAAAAATTTAGAACAGGCCAAAGGACGAGGGGCCTCTTTGGAAAGAACCAGGGGTCGGGCATTGCATTTTCTCAATTTTATTCACAGTGTTATGCGGTGTCTCTGGGGGAGATTTATGGAAAAGAGGAAGGCATGGCAGTGGAAAAGCCAAAAATAAAAAACCAAAGACGCCCTCTCTTGTTCTCAGCACCCAGCTGCGACTGGGGAGGGCTCTGATTAGGAATCAGTCCCAAAGGATATGCGGTGGAAAATTAGACTACATTAATATGATTCCTGTGAGGCCCTGGACTTTGGGATGCAGCTCAGTGGCACGGTAACCGCTCTGCGTACAGAAGGTCACTGGGAAAATATCACTTGGTGAAGCCCTGGCATGCCACCGCCAGTCAGCATAAGCAATACTAAACCATTAATTTGATTCTGAATTGATTTTAGAATGCTGTGTTACTTTTACTGTTGTTAGCCACTCTGAGCCCAGCTTCGGCTGGGGAGGGCGGGATATAAATAAATTATTATTATTATTATTATTATTATTATTATTATTATTATTAATGGCTTATTCAAGGCAGCTTCCTAGTTTCCTAGACATGGGAGGAGGTTTCCCACTGCAGCTCTGAATGAGCTGTTGTTCTGGTCCAGCCCCCTCCTGACACTGGGGAGCAGGTAGCTTCAGCTGCATAGGGTGTGACTGCACGGTGCAGTCTGTCCTGAAGGAGGATTACGCAGACTTGGAGGAGGCTGCCTCTCTCCAGGGGTCATTCTCTGGCCTAATTTCCTTCCAGCCAGCCTCCAGGTGGGGTGAGGAATTAATGGGTCATACTACCAGACCTCAACAATGCGCTACTGGAAGCAACCTAATAATCCTCTGTAGCAATGTGGCAGGATTACTTGCCCTCAGGAGATGTGCGCCCGGAACAGTGACTCATCCAGAAGCACAGTTCTTCACCCTACAATGCTTAACTTTCACCAGATGCATCAGAGTAGATATTACCTGCCCTCAGAGAAGCCCACACTGTGGTTTTGCATGAGCTGCTGATCTGGGTGTAAAGCTCCTGCAAGGCCCGGGGACTTAATTACACATGCTCTGCAACGCAGAAAGTTGCCAGTTCCAATTCCCAGCGTCTCCCGTCAAATGGAGGAGAACCAGTTTTATTTAGCCAAGGACAGGAGATTATTTTAAGTAAACCTTTCAAGCCATGAATTGGCATACCTCTGCCTTGAAGTCAGAAAACAAACATGCTTCAGCAACCAGAAGCAGCAGTGGGGAGTGGGAGGGGAGGAACCTTTTCTGCAGAGCATCATCCAAAGAGAAAAAAATGCCCATGACTTGTGCAGAAAAACCCACTTTTAAGAAATACATCGGTTTTTTAAAAATATGAATTAGTGGCATAAAACAAGTGCAACTGAGAAACCTAGTCAAGTCTAAAATCACATTTGTAACCAACTGTTTTTCCAGCTAAATTTCCATGGAAAGTACATATATTTTATGTGCATAGCTCTTAAGAACTGCTAAAATAAATATGTTAAATAGTTTTGAGTGACATTTTTACTTTAAAAACTATGAAAGGAAACATATACACTATTTAACGGTCACACTTTAAAATATATACAAGGAATGCAATAAAAATAATTTTGAAGTCAGGGTTTCAATATGTTTGTAACATTTAAAAACCTGCTGTGCAGTCCTGCACATGTCAACTCAGAAGTAAGCTCCATTACGCTCAGTGGGAGTAACCTTCAGTGTTTATAGGATTGTAGATTCAGGTAGGTAGCCATGTTGGTCTGACGCAGTCGAAATAAAGGAAAAAAATTTAAAAATTGTCCAGTAGCACCTTAGAGACCAACTAAGTTTGTTCTGGGTTTAAGTTTTTGTGTGTATCTGAAGAAGTGTGCATGCACACGAAAACTTATACCCAGAACAAACTTAGTTGGTCTCTAAGGTGCTACTGGACAATTATTTATTTTATTTATTTATAGGATTTTAGCCTAAATGAAATTTATGATTTTCCTCTAACCCATGCAAACATTTGATCTCAGGCACTTTGGGTGAATGGAAAAACTTTGCAAATCTTTACATGAAACATGAAATTAGTAACATGCATGTTAGCAAACAAAAGCAAAATAAGTCAAATAAACAACCTCCATCAGGTATCCACTGATTTTGAACAGTGGAAAGTTTTTGTTTCTTTTTTTAAACCATATTACAGATTGGAAGTTTAGGAAACATTGAGCTAGGGCTGGCAATAGAACAAGCATTTTCGTCGCCCCCCCCCACACCCTGGCACACACAAGCCACTGGGTGTTAAGTAAACAAGGGAGGGAGGGCCACTGTCACCATGTCTGGAGGGTACATATTTACTAATGATGGCTGTACATTACTCCAGTATCAGAGGTGGTACCCTCTGAATACCAGTTGCTGGGAATCTCAAGTGGGGAGGGTCTTGTAGTCCTCATGCCCTGCTTGAGCTGTCCTTCCCAGAGGACTAGACAGGCCTTTGGTCTGATGCAGGCACCAGGTTCGTCTTTTCTCATGCCCTCACAGCCCATCACCCTCTCAACTCATGGAGAGCGACTGTCTCTGAAGCTAGGAGTCTCCTGCAGCTCCAGGAGTCTCCCCGCAAGGAAAAACCAGTGAAGGATTTGAAGCACATTCGGCAGAATATGAAAATACAGGCGTACATTGGTTCTTGAATTTAATCCGTTCCGGGAGTCCATTCAACTCCCGAAACAATTCGAAAACCAAGGCGCGGCTTCCGATTGGCTGCAGGAGCTTCCTGCACTCAATCAGAAGTTGCGGAAGCCACGCTGGACATTTGGCTTCCAAAAAGCGTCCGCAAACCGTCTGCGACGTTCGGGAGACGATTTGTTCGACAACTAAGCCGTTCAACTACCAAGTTACCACCTGTAATCCCCTTCAGACTTTCCTGTTCAACATGCAAAGGTGTGAAGCTTAGGGAGCCCAGCACCACCCCTCTTGTCCATAGCATCGAAAGATTGCTTGAAGAGGGCTACAGCCAAGAAGCAAATAAAGGATGAACACAACTTGCAATCTTCAGCTCATGAGCTCATCGCCTCATTCTGGGCAGAGACGTGTAATCAAGATTTATTTGGTCTTAGAGACATCCTCTCACTGACTGCCACGAGGTTCATCCTGACTAGGAGGACAAACCACAGCAAGCTGAACACCAAACTCTCTTCCTGGTTCATGAACTCACTATTGACTTAAAAAATAATAATCCAAAAACAGTAGCTAAGACAAAATGCACATCACACACTTCTCTGCCCTTACTATTCCTTTTAATCCTTCTAGGTTTTGGTTTTAATCAAAACTACTACGAACAATAAATAATAATTGCTAATAAAAAAATCTAGATTTCTAGACCCTCCCAAGATGGGCAAATAATTTCTAGACCCTCCCGAGATGGGCAAATAATCTTTTCAGCCCAAGGGCCACAGAATCACAGAATTGTAGAAATGGAAGGGACCACGAGAGTCATCCCTGCAATGAATGAATCTTTTGCGCAACGTGGGCCTTGAACCCACAACCCTGAGATTAAGAGTCACATGCTCTACCACCTGAGCTATCCACAGTCCCTTCTACACAGCCTTCCAAGAGCAAAATGCGGGCAAAATGCGGAGGGCAGGCCAGAGGTGTATGTGGTGCAGAGCAACTAATGCAGATTTCATCTTTGTATAATAGGCTAGTTTCTAAACACACTCAAATGCCTCTTCATCCTCCATGCAGGCAAGCAAGAGCATTATCTATCGGCATTTTAGAGCACATTCAGACCAACCAGAAACGCCCAGGATGAGAGGTGTGTCCTGGGGGAGAGATCAGAGGGCCAGAAAGAGATGCCTGGAGGGCTACATTTAGCTCCCAGGCCTGTGAGTCTTCAACCCCCCACCTCCAAGATTTCAGCAGGTAGACACTTCTCTCAGACAGAAATGCACTTAAAAAACAAATTCAGGACAGGTCTGCACTCCAAATGCGCAAACCCCCCCCAACCCCCGTCTTGCATTAAGCAATTAAGCGATACTCACCAACTTGGTGGCACACCAAGGCGCAGTCACGGCTGACGGTCCAGTGCCTTCCCCCACCATCCACTTAGTCCTGCAAGTGGCTGGGCATCATGGAGCCTTCAAAACACTCAGCAGCTGGGGTCAGACCCCCCGCCCCGTCCCACTCCGTGGGGAGAGCCCCAGCTTTCAACATCTACAACGGCCGCGATGCAGGGATTCCGGAAGCGAGCTGTGGAAAGAGCAAACCCGAAATGGGAGATCAGCAAGCAAGAAAACAACCTCCACTGCGCCTGGGATAAGGAGGGTCATTCAGTGATCATCTTACTGCTGTTCAAGCCACTGGCCATAAACAACCATTGTAAGTACACTAGACATGAGGAACGGAACACAAGATGGGAGACAAACAAGCCCCCTTTTGTGCATTATTGTGCTGCACTCTCAATCCGCACCATGTTGACCCCATGACTTCAGGGTACCTCAAGGACCGCCTCTCCCCATAACAAACCGACCCTGGACTCTGCATTCATCATCTGACACCCTTCTTTGTGTGTCTCCTCCATGAGAGGTCTGGAGGGTGGCAACAAAAGAACGGGCCTTTTCTGCAGTGGCACCCCTTTTGTGGAATGCTCTGCATTCTGTTTTTGTCACCAGGTTAAGCAGCATCATTTTTGTCTAATACTTTACAAGGGTGGCTCAATCTCACTCCTGGCCTGGAGGAGCAGAATATAACCCAGTGTTTCTCAAACTCTGGTCTGCAGCTGTTGTTGGACTACAACTCCCATCATCCCTGACCACGGGGTCCTGCTGGCTAGGGATGATGGGAGTTGTAGTCCAACAACAGCTGCGGACCAGAGTTTGAGAAACACTGGTATGAAGCCATCCATGCCACAGCACAGAAACTAAGGCTGCAAACCCTAGGTACACTCCAGAGGAACTTGCCTATCCAGTGGACACGCAACAAGGGCTTCATTGCAAGGCAGGCGTAGTCAAATATAGCACATAAAGGTTTCCCTCCAGGGAACCAGCTGAAGAAATAGTTGTGAACTTGGAGGAGTCCTTTCTCCTCCTCCCTTCCTTCTCTACCCCTCCGGGCCATCAATGCACAACAACAAAGAACCAGCCTTGGAAGTTGCTGGCTCCAGACACTTTATAGCCTAGCAGTGTCTCTGGACTTATCTGCAAGACAAGGCGTGTCCAGGCTGTTCCAAAAAGCAGGGAATCGAGTGTTTTGGCCCTTTGGCACTTCCAAGTCACTGGTATATGAAAGACAGGGGGTGTCCACAGGCCCCGCCCACCCACCGCCTCAGCTGAAAAGAAGGGGCCTGGAGCCCTGTGGACGATATGTCTCATTGTGATTCTGTGGGCTAATGAGATGTTTTTGTTTCTCGTTTCATAAAATTTATGAAACACATGAATGCAAAAGAAACCTCAGAGTGGTTTACAAAAAGAACAAAACAATGAAATTATCAGTAAACAGCAGCTGAAAACAACTACAGTGGTACCTTGGTTTAAGAACAGCTTAGTTTATGAACAACTCAGATTAAGAACGCTGCAAACCCGGAAGTAGGTGTTCCGGTTTGTGAACTTTGCCTTGGAAGCAGAATATGTTCTGCTTCCTGTTGAGTGTGTTCCATTTGTAATTTGAGTCCCCCGCTGCTATGGGAAAGCACACCTTGGTTTAAGAATGCTTTGGTTTAAGAACGGACTTCTGGAACGGATTATAAACAGTTTGTAAACCAAGGTACCACTGTACTTAAAACATTCAGAGAGTAATTAAAATTGGTAAGCTTAAAACACAGATTAAAACACCCGCCAGAGAGAGTTCTACATATCTGGGTAGGTTTGCCTCAACAATTTTTTTTTTAACAGGGATCGAAAAGAGTAACCCTGAAGCTGCCTGCCTGACATCAATAGGCAGGGAGTTCCAAAGTTCAATTTCTTACAAACACAGAATGGATATTGTGTATCACTTGTAACATGGCATTCTGCAAATCAAAACAGTCAAACATGCATATATGGGGTAAGGTAATCTTACAGGTAAACTTGCAAGTTATTGTGGGTTAAGCACAGTGTTTCTCAAACTTGGGTCTCCAGCTGTTTTTGGACTACAACTCCCATCATCCCTAGCTATCACAACCAGTGGTCAGGAATGATGGGAGTTGTAGTCCATCAACAGCTGGGGACCCAAGTTTAAGAAACACTGTGAAGGTGTGGTCCAAACACCTGGAGGGCCCCAGGTTGGCGAAGGCTCACTTAAGAGGTCATCCCCATTTGACTCAGCTTCCTTCTGCTGCCAAATAGGAATGAGTCCATCCAAATTGGTTTCTAAAGTAAGAGTTGATGGTTTGGGCCAGAGAGGGGCTGGTTTCTTATTGGGGTGGTTGGGCAGGTGCCTTGAATGAAGTAGATAGTGGACAGGATGTTTTAACTGAGATTCCTGCATTGCACGGGGTTGGACTAGATGTCCCTCAGGATCCCTTCCAATTCTATGATTCTATCACAGCAGTCTGGCAACCAGCACATTCCACTGTACCTTGTTACTCAGTTTCACAACTCAACTATTAACAAATTCACATTTGATTCTTCTTGCAGAGCAAGTAAACTTGAAAGGCGAGATAGCCCAAGGGTCTATAGAGCTGGGACGATGGACAATTGACCTGCTAATTACTGTCAATTGACTGCCTTGCATTCGATGATAGCTGCCCTATAGCTGAATATTGCAGAGTGCTACCACATCAAGGCTACCACATCAAGCCTTGAAGTTGTACTGACCAGCTAATTGCTATGATAGTCAAGTGGAACATCCACATTCAGAAGGCCAGACACCTCTATGAACCGGATACTCGGGATTGCTAACGCACAGGGATTGCTAAGACTGTCACTTGGCAGGCTGCAACACACGTCTGGCAGGCAGCAAATGTCCTGCTGGGGTTGCACAGCTATGCCGTTACAATAAGCTGGCGGCCACTTGGCTTAAGAGATTCAACCGCTATGTCCCAAGCTCACTAAAATGGAACCTCCTTGTACAGTGGTACTGTACATCTGAAGGTCTAATGCTGAGGACAAACACTCAGGTAAGGTCCATCATCTTCCATGTCCTGCTTGGGAGCTTCATCCCAGAGGGGCCAGACTAGCCATGACCAAAACCATTTACCTGATCCAACATGGTAATGACATTAAGGAACACAGGAATTCCAGAAAAACCAAGTCTGACCATTGACTAAACTGACCAGCAGTGGTTCTCCAGGGTTTCAGGCAGGGGGCATTCCCAGCTTTATCGGGATATGCCACTGAGCCGCAGCCCCTTCCCTGCCAGTGCTCAAATTGGCACCCCAAGTGCCATCTAAAAACAAAAAGTAGCTGGAAAGGTACTCTCTGGTCCTGTAGGAGTCTGTCCATTTAAGAAGTCTGTTGCTCAGCAGCACAGCACATACATGATTTGCATGCAAAAGGTCCCAGGTTCAAGCCCCAGAATCTCTAATTAAATCTAATTAAAGGATCAGGTTGCCAGTTGACAGAGGAGACTTCCTTCTGCCCAAGACCCTCCCAATTGAAACGGATAGTCTTCCGCTGAATGGATGAGATGCTGAACCGAATACAAAGCATCTTCCGGTGTTCTGGGTAGCGGCACCACAACTGCATTTTAAAAACTAAGAATCATTCATTTATTTATTTTTAAGAGTCACTGAGCTTGTCTCTTTGCTTCAATTTAAAGCAGTAATTTGCCACTGTTTTGGGGCTCTTCTCTGGTGCTCCAGAACCAGGAAGCTTAGACGAAGCATCTGGTCCCTCGCCCTTGGTTGCCGTCTGTTTGTGTCTGCAGAACACGGCTGGCTGTAAATAATTGATTGCAAGCAATAGTTTGGAATTTAATTACATGGTTTTATAATGGTAGACTAACTAACTTGGGGGTTTTCTTGGTTGCAATTAGCAGCCGCCTCGTCACCGTTCTACTAATTCGTCGATTTAAAGAGCTGACAGTTATTGGTGCAACAGTTACCCAAAGAGGCGTAATTATCGTAGATCTGGGGGCGGGGGCGAGAGAAGCGGGTGGGCACTTCCCCAGCTTACGAAGTGAAGCAGATCAGAACAGCTTCCCTTTCCGCCCACTTCCAAATCTTCCAGGAAGGCGAGAATCAGTGCAGATCCAGCTAAGGCAAAGAGGAGCTTCCTGGGTGAGAATTCCTGGGAGTGGGCGGGTTAGGAAACCCACATTAATACGACAGATGAACCAAACCCTTCCTGCATATGCACACACAGGGCAACTCTTGGGAACAATTTCAGATATTCTGCGCTCCAGGGGCTCTCGCCTGAATGCGACCACATCAGCAGGACATATTGACACAGGAGCTGCCCCTGCGGGGGTCTTTCCTCTGCATTTGGAACCCCACAGGGCCGAAGCTGAGCCAGCATGTGGGCAATTGATTAAATGTTTGGGGTTTAATGCAGGAAACCCACTTGAAAACCCCCATTTTGCAGAAGAAGGGAGAGAGAGGGTGGGCCCCAGCGGGACAGGATTACTACTACTGAGCAACTTCTCACATTGAGCAAGACCAATTCAGCCTTGCGAAGGCCATAAAGAGAGAGCAGATCCTCCAACAAAAGGATTTGGCTCTGTGGCAGAGTGTCTGCTCTAACCACAGAAGGCCTCAGGTTCAATCCCAAGCATCTCCAGTGATGGGAAAGATTTCTTCCTGCTCAAGACCTGGCTAGCTAGGAATAGATAATGGTGAATACAGGTGAGCGGTTGATCAGTGTTAGAAACTCAGATATCAAAGCTAGGCACCAAATGGCTCCTAAAACCAGGGTTACACAGTCGCCAAAATGGAATACAGTGGTACCTCAGGTTACATACGCTTCAGGTTACAGACTCTGCTAACCCAGAAATAGTACCTCAGGTTACGAACTTTGCTTCAGGATGAGAACAGAAATTGTGCTCCAGCGGCGCGGTGGCAGCAGCAGGAGGCCCCATTAGCTAAAGTGGTGCTTCAGGTTAAGAACTGTTTCAGGTTAAGAACGGACCTCCGGAACGAATTAAGTACTTAACCTGAGGTACCACTGTACCTAGTTGCCATTTTGGGGCCAGCTTTTTGGTTCCTGAAATTCGTTCTGATTGTGCCGATAAAATATAATGGAAAGAATTCTACAGGATGTGTTACTAGTGTGTGAAAACAGGCAAGATCCAAGGCACACGCCTCCAGATGGTGGAGTCATCTGGCACTATCCTGG